CTGGTCTTCTTCTGATTATCTGTACAATGTGAACGATCGAACTGACTCTCAAAAAAACTGAAACACTCGGTTTCGATATGCTACCAAATCGTACAGTTTATCAATAACATATCCAAGAAAGAAGAAATGAAAAAGATAAAAATTAGAGTCACTCTTATAGTATTCTGGCAAAATCTAGAATCAGCAGAGTTCTGATGATTGAAGTTGTACAGACACGAAACTTTGATATAGATACCACGATGAATGATCAGCAGCATTTCAGGTTATCTTCAGATACACCAAAATATCTACTGAAAGCATGTGTCGTTCAAGGAGAATGATCCAGCAACTGTGTGAAACAAGTAAAATAGGTGTTCTAACTAGAGAGAAATAACCAGAGAGTAGATTAGATGAATGGATGCGGGGTATAGGTCTGTGTGACATGAGTTTACAGCTCACGAGCGCTTTACAATCGAAACTGGGTAATCAAATATTCCTCGTCGTAACAAAGACTACAATAATATCAGTTGGTTTGGTTTGTTGAATTTGGATTTGTTGAATGCAGAGTATGATTTAGGATTACTAATCTGATTGTCTAATCATACAATCACGATTGCATGAAGCACCACATTAGTTTTTTTGGTCTTAACTCTTGGTGAAACTATCCAGAATGCTATTGCAAAAAGCAGATTGCTTGTTATGTTACTGCTAAAGCCTCTTATTTGTATCAATTGTTGTTTTCTTCAATGTAGTTTAGTATAAATGGAAAGCTCTTTTCCTAGAGCTTTCTAACGATACGCAAAGAAACAAAAGTACTTCAAATAACAATTTTATTAGAGTAGCATATTTTTCTTCTTTTTACTTTGTTTCAATTTTTCCAACTTATCAGGTGAAAACATGTAATTGGGAAAGAGAGTCACTACATGATGAATGCCAATCCCAACAATCGACATGTATGATGATTATAACCGTTAGAACAATTTTTTTCTCTTTCCATCAATAACCTAGGAAGTATAAGGAAAAGAAAAAGAAAAAAAGCCAGTCTCTCTCGTCACAGCAATTTTATCTCGAGTATTTTTTGTAAACAGCATGTATACATGAAATTCACAATTGATAAGAATGCAAAAGAAAGTAAAAGGTTTTGTTTATGAGATAATACAAGTCGATGATTGGCGTTGACGTTGCGGTTGCTGGTCTGCTAAACGTTTAGCCAACCGTTGCATTGGCTCAAGATAGTATAAACGCATCCATGACATCGTGTACGTCATAATCTTGTTCACTTGTCGAGCACGACCAGCAACCACAATGGTTGAAACAGCGAGAACTTGGTGACGAATTTGACTGATTTCGTAGAATTTATTCGATGAATTTTGACACAATGCATCACTCTGAAAGAAGACTTTATTGTCGAAGACATCTGGGCTAAAAGCATAGCAAAGAACGAGCAGTTTTTTTTGTTCATCTACTGACAAACTTGACCAATTATCATAATTAGTTAGACGACGTATATCTGGATCATCATTGCAATCTATTGAGAAACAAACACAATTAAGATAGTACATCAATTTTGCCACATCATTGCCAGGCACTGTCACGCTGCGACCAATATCTTTGATACCAATTTCGTTTCTCTGAAGGAAAGCCATTTTTGATATTTTGTTTCAGCAAAAGTCGTACTCAACAGCCTGTAGGATTTTAAATGGTATTGAATACAATACAACGCACTGCCTATATAGTATTGTTAGAGGAAGTTGAAAAGAATTGTTGAAAAAACAATACCAAATGTCACAAGTGCAGAGCAAATGAAGAAAACAACAATGTGTGTGTCTATTCACTTCCGACCCACTGACAAGCGTAGCAGTGGTATATTTTTTTTTCATAGAGTTTTTTTTCAAGGAAGAGAAACCATAGTAAACAACTATTTCTTTTATTTTTCGCCATTTCATCATTATGATTCCATTATCGATATACCTTTTGTGACTCATTAGTTGGCTTTGTCCTGCAGCTTTAACTATGAATGTCGGTGAATTCGAGGAAAAGCATACGATCGCTGCGCCTCAACAGACTTGAAGATTATTAGGAAACATAAAAGCTACTTTTAATAAACATTTTTCGAAAGTTTTCTGGTATATCGGCAATAAATAAGCTTCATTTTTTGAATTTGCCTTAAAACTTGCTGTACTAAAATGCTGACCAAAAGTCTTGACGCCTCTGAAATGCTGCAACATTCCAAGCTATTTACTTGAAATTTTGACCACAGGCGTACAGTGAGAAACACTGATTACATACACCAGCTCGAGAACAATCCAATGTAATAGGAGAACGTTATACATCAAACACAATGTTTATTTTGTATTGTTTATATTACATCCATACAAGCACTTCGAACTTCAGGAAAGCCATTATTTGAAAATCTGATTTCTGAACTTTAATTTATGAAGTGTCCTTCAGAAAAGTCATCTAGAATACTTGTATATTACTCTGCCCCGACGTGTCCAGAGAATCGTAGCTATGATGATTTCAAGTTGGTTACCATGTGAATGATATTTAGATTGACCTCTGTACTTGAATTTTTTTTCTCAATTATTTATAGACGTATGACTGTTTCTTAAAACTTTCAAAATGAAGACCTTTTATCAAAGTAGCAATACGATGATATAATGGTGGGCATAATCGATGGTTATGGATGCAATGAAAATGAGTATCCACATCTATGCCCCACAGTTGATATACATGTGATTCTATACAATATATCCGAATCGAATCTATCTGTTTTAAATCATGCACCTTTGAAAGTGCCTTATTAGTGCAGGAACAGGAAAACAACAAATAGAATATCAACATTAGAAACTATTGTGACATCATAATGTCAATCATCAAAATTATCGAAGAATGTAATTTTATCTGTTATTTTTTACAAGAGTTTCGTTAGTTGAGCATCGTTATCATCAAATTTCGTAACATATTTTTCTATCTAAATGCGTGCAATATTGTTAGATCATCATCGGCTTCAAAATCACGTGGATTGCTCGAATCTCTCATTAAATGATATCCCATCAATGTTGATCAAAGTGAACTATCGCTAAATGATATGTAATAAATATAAATTTACTTTGACTATAAACATTGGTTTCTTGGAAGTAAAAAACACTTGTACGTAGTGGCTTAAATAAAACATTTCCCTGTCATGTAAAAGAACATAACCTACTTCCTTGCTTACATATGTTATTTGTTATAGAACGAAAAAAAAACACGAAAATTCATCGCAAAACGACGGGTAACCATATGGTGTGAGTGCGGGTGTTCTCTTAAATGCACTGAATTCCAAATCCGCACTCATATCCAAACCCTTGTCATGAGTAAAATATATCTACATCCAACATAAAATTTTACTTCAGTTTTTGCTAGTCTATATGCTAAATTTATCGATTTAGAGAAGTTTGAAAGCTTTAAAGAGAAGTTACAGCATATATTAGGACATGAATTTTATAAAAAGAAATGAGTTTTGTGTTTATCCATCGATGAAGGTGAAGGTAGCAATTTCTAAATTTGCATAATTAACGCTGCTATAGCTTTCATCAGTTTGGAGAAAAACGTAGATCTTAGGAAAATGAATATACAAACTTCTATTTTTCGTTGAAGTCTATCTCAATTTCTTATCTGCACTGACGTTAGTGATACCTAAATTTTGTTCGATCAAGAGTGTCAGTGTGAGTATGAATGTGAAAAGAATATACATACCCAAACCCGCACTCACATCGAAATAAAAGAAAAGATCCTACCGTGTGAGGCTTCGCATCCATCGAGAAAATTGATTTTTCTCAAAAAAAAGACACTGAGATAAATATATAGACAAGATCTCTAAGGTATTGACTTTGAAAACTTTCTTGAAAATAAAGAATGTGGATATAAGTGGAAGAAATACCCACACCCTTAATCATCTTCAATTCGTTCATAATGAATAGTTTTTGTTTATGAGACTCCACATTTCTAGCTTTAATCATCGTCATCGACGCTTACGCTTGTATATACATACAAATTGGTTGATAGAACACCAGTTACTAGCAGCTCAGCCATACGAAGATCCGAACCATCCGTCGTCTATTTAACAAGACCACTTGTCTTGTGCTTAGTTTCAAGCATATTGAACAGGAATGCCGACATTGTATTAACCCTCCAACTCATGGTGATGGCTGTCATCACTATTAATATTGGAATGAGTATTTCTTAATATCATATTCTATTCGGAATGGGATCCAAATGGCAAGCGTCCTTGTTCTCGGTCGTAATCAGTAATGTAATCAGGAAAAAGAGATAAGAAGTCTGTTAATAGCATGACATTTTTGAGTATTACTAGTTAAAATGTATTCAAACATGAATACCAGTCCTATTTTATTCATTTGCTTAGTATCGTATAAAAACATAGGCGTGGGGAAAATTTTAATACTATCCTTTGTTGATTTTGAAGTGCCTTTTTATCGAAGTAAGTATTTCGAATACATTGCTGAAACTCCTATTTACTACGCTTTTTTATTGAAATTTGTCGACTTGTCGTTTTGTGTAAAGAAATTTGCATCTACTTTGAAATGTAAGTTATTTTATTAAAAATGATTTCGATAAGTGCTGTGTATTTTCCTTAATTCTGAAAATGATATCTATAATTTTATTGCTTTTCACAATCATGAAAATATCTAGATAACTCTCATGGAAATAGTATGCAGACTATTTTTTGGTAAATAAGCATTTCGTTTGACACTAATCAGTAACTTGATTGGACAATAGCCAGACTCTACTACTGACAGCTGTCTCTAGGCGTTTCTTTTCGTGTAAAAGTTCATGTGTTTGATGCTTTAAGGTCAAGAAGGTGCGTGTCCTATTCGAGTAAAATAACTTTATTACTCATCTTTTCTTCATAGAATACAAAGCCTTTCAACATAGTATCCAGAAAATGAGAAAATTTTTATATATTTGTAGAAATAGATCCTTAAAGTTTTGATCAAAATCGACAAACCTAATTACCAACTAATATCGGAAGACTCACTCATGAAAAATATTTTTACGCGTGGACAGTCCAAACCTAGATTTTTTTATCCAGTATGCTAACACATAGACAGTAAATTGCATATATGTGTAGTAATCTAATGGTCAACCGATATCAGAATGATTTATCAATTGTATCTCACTGATTTAAGATGCGTCCAGATATTAAATTCTTTCTTGTCGTAATTGTTCTTTTTTCTGACTTTAAATTGGGAACAACTATACGTATTTCTATCACAAATCAAAAATTGATCTGGTCGAATGAAGAATACCAAATGAAAAAGTCTATTTTTTATTTACTGTATTTTTCGTTGTCTGTCTTCAATAGTATATTCATATCTATCTTATTATTAATTTGCCTTAATTATGAAAAGAAAACATCTGCAATTAGAATACGTTTAATTTTATATTGTCAGACTTCTGCATTTTTGTTGATTTAGGTAGTTGCATTGAGTTATTTACAATTCACTGCACGCAATGATCATCATTCAAACTTGTTTTTCTTTTCTTTTTTGCTTATTCTTTACAGTATTTCTTATAGTTAGTATAGTTGCACTTTTCATTAGAAATATTTAGAGTCAATACGGACTAAATAGCAAATACAAATATATTCATACAAATCATCATTTTTATTTCTTTTGTGTTCTAGATATACAGTCAGTAAAAAAAGTATTCGGATGTTTCCGTATTTTTTGGTATTTCTTGATTAGTGAATCCGACAGCAGTATTCAGACTTCCAAAAAAGACAATTCCGGCTGTGAGGTGTGGAACACACCAACACATTTGTAGTCTATTAGATATGCAAGCAAGTCGTACTCATAGAAATCATCATCAACGATATAATGAAATGGGACAAACGACTACTTCACAGAGTTTGGTTAATAAAGGTTTTGCTGAAAAAAAAAGAATGAAAAACATGTTTTCGAAGTAAAGTTTATTTTCTATAGAGAATATTTTATTCAAATGAATTATTCTTTCATATATTATATAGAGGTCGGGCAAAAGCTCTACATTAAATTTTTATTTTTCATGTATCGTTCTAATGTAATATTGTTTAGATTATATTCTTTTTTTTTGTTAAAAAGAGCAAAATGTCTAATGCAAAAATATCTAAAAGAATTTAATTCGAAATATGTTCCGTAGATCACGAAAATCTCAGAATACAAGCTATTCTGAAACTGTTTCGCCACTTGAGTCACAATATTTGTATTCAAATTTTTTCTTGATCGTTTCCATTATTGTATTACGATGTTTTGCAACATCATATATACATACATAACTGTTTATTACGAATACATCTTTCATGTGATATAAAAATAATTGATCTAGCTATGCACATGACTGAACAACAGATAGTTTAATATAAAATGCAATTTGAAATTTATAATGCGAAAACAAAATTTTTGTTTGAATATCATGCAGCGAAGGTGTATCCTATTTCAAATAATATCTTTTTTGTAGTGGACTCGATAAACTTTCTTTTTTCCTGTAGAGTATGTATATTCTAACAACTTTTATTTCAGAGTAGAATTTAGTTATTTTATTATGACCATGAGTTCCGAAAAATTGGTGATGTTAAAAAATGCAATGATAGTAAACTTTCGTTATAGAAGCCGCATGAATCGATAAAAAAACGTTCTCTCAACTCTACAATCTAAAAGTAAGCTCCAATGAACGTAAGAAAGACACAAAATGAGTTGTTTACTGAAAAAAAAAACAACAATTGATAATGAAATAGTAGCCCGCTGTTCTGTGCTTTGCTCTACTGTTGATTTTAAATGTTTCGATTGTATACTTTGGCAGCAATAATATTTACTCTCTTCTTTTGATTTTTTCTCGTTCTGGTCACATTTTCATCGATGGTGTCTTGCTTGTCTCATTCTACCACATATTCAAGCTTTCTATTCGATATCGTGTATATAAGAGACGTAGGGAGTCAGATCATTTACATTACTCCGTCATGCATTGCCGACAGTTATCGTCATCATTCTTTTCTCGCTTAGCTGTGTTTTGCAGGCAACCAAATGTCCAAACCATGTTACTCAGCCAGATTTCAATGCGAGTAAAGTGAGTTTCCTCTTGGAGAGGATTATATCGACTTATTAGATTTTGCGTTTACGATTTTTTTAGTACACTGGACTACGGTATGAAATATATCGAAATACTCTCTTTGTTCGAGCTTGGTTCTAAATGTGTCAATACAACATATACATTGAATGATGATGAATCAATTTATGTCTGAAACCAGGTTATTGATTGGTTGGGCTGTTATACTAGCATAAATGGTACCGCTAAAGTGATAAATATTTCAGAGCTCGGTGCATTAGTTGTCCCTTTCAGAAGTTCTGGTATGTTCCTTTGTCTTGCTCTCAACTGTTCCCTAGTTTCTTTTTCGTGTTTGAACAGGTTCAACGGACAAATATAATGTAATCTCTACCAACTATATCGAATACGCAGTTGCTTACTCCTGCTGTAATGTTCCAATCTTCAATTTCAAATGGGAATTTATATGGCTTCTCTCGTACAGACAAGAATTTTCTTTTTGAAATCGATTCAATTCTAATACCTAGTTTTGTTTGATTTAGACGAACAAAAACAATGCCTTCATTGATTATCGATGAATTCAAAAAGGCCTTATCAGACATGAGTGCCAACGTCGGCGGTTTGAAACTAACGAAACAGAACTGTTGATTAATTTTTGTCAGCTACCTAGGAACTTTCATAGCTCAGTTGGAATAAAAAATGAAGGACTGTTCACTGATGTTTTTCACTTTTTTGGTATGTATCCCATGACATGCTGAACACTACAAGCGATTGTTGAACGCGGAGTCTGTATGCGATCTCTGTGTCATCATGCAATGTCCAACGATGTTCTTTTTGATCATCAATAAATATTGAAGAAATGCGTTAATTGACAACTAAATCACAATGCAAGAAAAATTTGTCATTGAGCTAATGGTTACCATCGATTCGTTTGTTATTGCCGCTATAGCTAACTGATGTACCATCGAGTAGGTACTATGTTGATATACACTTGAATGATCGGTCACATTGATGCAAATTCTCATGAATGTGACCATATTTGCGATCATATAAACAACCTCAGAGAGAATAATGAAATAGCAAAATGAGACTATTTTATTTGAAATTTTGCAGTTCCTACTACCATACGCGTGGCGTGTGGATGTGAGTGAGTATAGGAGATGGTGTGACTGTTTTGCTTTTTTTGCATCCACACCCATGCTGCCTAGAGAATGTTAGATAGTGCTTGTAGCATTGCTGCAGCATGTCCAGTATTGTCTGTAGCTTCCTAGGTGACGTCTGAAGCATCTCAAACGTTGCCTTTGAAATCTTAGATGATGCCTCTAACATTACTTTAGTATATCAGATGTTGACCGTAGCATGTCATGTGCTGTCAGTAGGATTTGTTGTGACACACTAGCCACTATTCGTAGTATAGCAGATGCTATTATAGCATTGTGGGTGTTATCTTTAGTATCTAAAATGTTACCAGTGGCATATCTAAGTAACTTTCTACAAGCTACAGTCAGTACGTGTATTAGAATTAACAATAATGCTAACATGATACTCCAAGAATAAATAAAAAGGAAGTGTAACAAAGGATCTACAGAGAAGTACGTACAGGAAAGGACCTATATATAAGGACGTAGGAAAAAAGACGTATAGAAAGAACGTAAATCCAAACGAACAAGAAGAGTATGAGCATTTTTTATCGTTTCTGATTAAAGTCATATAGCGGATGCACTCAGATCGATGCTCATGGTCATACGCACATCCATACTTAAGCTGTCTCTGTGCTTTGTTATTTTGAATCGAAGAAGAATGACTGTGAAGTTTAGATGTTTGAGCCGCAGCTCAGTATTGCAATTGTGATGGAGTCGAATTGAGCGAGATTTTGCTTTCTTTTGATTCGCTTTTGTCTTTGATTCGTTGTAGCAAATTTTATTAATCAATGATTCACTATTATCAGCTACTATTTATTTATTTACAGAGGCACGCATTCTCTGATTTTTTTTCTTAAAACTCGATAGGCTACCTTCCGTCGTATGACAAGCAGAACAGAATAAGTGGTCATGAAGCAAACGTATCGATTAAGTTGTTTTACAACTGCTCTGCTGCGTCAACGTTGAGTCAATAATTCGTTCGCAGTTTTTTATGCAGCACAGCCATGTGAATAAATATTTAATTACGCTAAGAATCTATCTCTTTGTTATAGATAAACAATGTCGACTATGAAAATGTGCGTACGATGTTTGAAAGTGGGTGGTGATGTGTACACTTGTGAAGGATGTAAGACTTGTTTCTGTTTCGATCATCTCGTGCAACATCGACAAGAACTTGCTATCAAGATGGATGAAATAGGACAACAACATGATTTATTACAGAATGACCTCGAGCAGCAAGCGAATAAAGTTGAAAGTCATCCGATTTTCACTCAGATTAACGAATGGGAACAGGAATCAATCATCAAAATTCAAGTTATAGCTGAAGCTGCTCGTGCCGATCTGCAGCAACAACTTGAAACAAGAACTCATCGTCTTAAAACAAACTTTAGCAAACTTTCGAAAAGTATCCGAGCATGTCGTAATTCAACCTACTCTGAAAGCGATCTGATGAAATGGATAGAAGAGCTTCAGCAAATTCGTAAAGAATTTGAAAAATCATCGGCCACTTTGAAAATAACGTACGATTCCCAAGTGACCACGGTTAATTTTATCAGGATTATTAGTAACGATGAAGAAAATAACACTTCAGAAAGTTCACCTGCAGCAATAGCACAAGAGCAAGTTTCTATTCACAAATCATCTCGTTCTCGTCCTTATACCGATAGTGTACCTAACAGGAACACTGAACAATTTAAAAAAGTAATCGGTGATGCTGTATTAACTGACAATAATCTCGTAGCGGAAAAATCGAGTATCTACTCAACAAGTATTCGTGGCGCTAATTTGTATACAACAGGAATACACGAAATCCAATTTCGAATCGAACATCTGAGTAATAATAGTATTTTCATTGGAATCATTTCATCAACTCAACAAATGACAAGCACTGCCTTCAAATTATCATCAGCTTACGGCTGGTGGGACACCAATTTTCCGGTAGTAGCAGGTATTCATAATGTACATGGCATTTATTCAACGAGGACAGGTGACAAAGTGACAATAACGCTGGCTTGTGATGAAAGAGGATTAATTTATCACAATACGAGATGTGGATCAAGTAAGATGTCTGTCGATATCAATCGTTGTCCTTTTCCGTGGCAAATTCTTGTCATTTTGGGCGCAGGTGAGAACATAATTCGTATTCTCGTGTAAGAATTATACGTCTCTTGTACATTGAATGTTTGACACAGAAATTCGTTTCTTTTCCACCAAATAAAAATAATGTCACTTCCATTTTTCAATAAAAACTGTTGACAAATTCAACGCAGTACAACATAATTCTACAGCTTTTTTTCGAAGAGTTCAAATCCATATAAAGGTAGCTGTTGGCAGCATGCAATTTGCTTGCTTTTACTCGAGACGAATTTATTCATTATGACTTTCTAACTATAAGATAGAAACTTTCTCTTCAAAGTATACTATTCGACCCTGTATAAGAATATATGAAATATCTTGCTCGAAAAGTGCATGGACTCTCTATACTTTGTTTTAAGCAGTGCCCAATGTCTTTTTGAATGAAAATTAAATTGCAGTTTGCAATGAACCGATTGATATATTTGGCAGAGATAAGTTCAGAGGTTAAATTCGACTGTGATCTTACTTACAAAAACATATTTATTGGAGCCGATGATGACACACAATGGGGCAATTCCATTCCGTTCATTGGAAGAAAAACGTTCAATTTAATTTATCGGCTTAGGAAATTGACCTTAACGATGCGAGTGAAGAGGAGCAAAATAGATGTGGTTAATAAAATATCTTAGCCAAAAAATTGTCAAATTTTGCAGAAAAAAAAGAAACTCTTGTCAGATATTTTCCGATATACTTTACTGAATAACTTCATCATTGAAGCTTGTAAATGATTCAGAAGGGAAACGAGATGCATTTTAATTATCTTGACAGAAATATAAACTAAGTCCATGATTACGAAATAATATTTTGTTATTTCTAACAGATTCATAATTTAGTCCTTTAGAGTGTTATTATAATCAATATTGTATTATCTCACATTAATTTTTATTATCCAGTCCTATAAGCATTCACGTAATTCGAGTTGACCACTGTTCACCTGTATAAATTGTGTATAAACCTATAATAACCTGAAAAAAATTAAAAGAATGATATGATTGCATGTCTAATTTCTATTGGACAGTTTTTCGATAACTATCTTTAAGCAGTGCATATGCATATACATTTTTAGGTGCTGAAAAAAATTTATTTGTCCATTTCTAGAAAACATATACAGCACAAAAGAAAATTAGCTCATAACCAAAGCTATAATTGAAATAGTGAGAAACTATGAGCTTATCTATCCTATTTCTCACATTGTTTGTTTTGTGCTCAGACTAGACGCAGTTGGCTTCTATTCAGTGAACAGGATTATATATTTGAGCAGTCCGCGATATAATAATTGTCTTGTACATATTGAGAATAATTTTACATTACTGAGTGCCGATTCTACCTTTGTATCGTGATGCTGACTTGAAAGTTTAATCTTTCCATTTTATCACTCGATTAATATAATGGTTTATTGGTATTTCTCCTTTGTTGGACTTGGCAAATCTTCCAGCATAATTTAATCATGTCATCATTGATATGCTAAAATATAATTCTGCAATGACGAATCAGGAAATATGTGAGAGTATTAAAATCCATTTCAATATTCTTGGAAATAAGTTCTTCAATCTAGAGATTTGTAAAAGACCCAAAAACAAAAAAATTGTTTCTCTTTCATATTACACAGAGATGAAATTGAGTTCGTGCATGTATTGATGGAAATAATCTGTAACAAGAATAAATACAAATTGTTGTTAGAAATGAGAAAAATAAAGACATGTAGGTGTAGCAAATTTCTGTTGTTACTTTCTCCACTTGTCATATTTTGCCAAATCCCAAAAAATTCAATTTGGTATTTTCTTCGCTTTAAAATATACTTAGGGCATACCACAAGCAGGAGCAGTGACACTTTAATACTATATAGTAGACTTAAAGAAACTTTCTTTCTATATAGTCTGATAGAGAGAAAAAGCTCCATCTTTCTGTACAATTTGATCATACTTCAACTAATATCAAAATAATAAAATTTTGATAAGATCTGTTTAGTTATCATATATGCTACTTGTATTAATATTTTATTTCAAAAAATACTCACTAGTATTTTTCGAATAACTTTTGAAAGAAACAAGATAGAGAACTGCAATTTTCACTGTTGGAAAGAGTAAATAAAGATGCATCGAATTGTATATGCCACAATTTCTTGATATGTTTTTTGTAAGGTTTTCAGTTGACCTTTTTAAGAACAAACCTATCACGTAAGTTGTTTACAGTGAATTTTGAATTATCAAGTATAAATTTAAACCACTA